CGCCGATCGGCTTGCGAGATATCAGAAGCTAGGAATCGGAACCAGCATCCTTTTAAAGCAAGATAGGTCTTAACCGCTCGAGACATATCTAAAATAATGAATCCAATCTAAATACAATTGATAGCCAGTAGCGCTAAATAAAATTACCAACTGAAAAGCTCGCATTAAACTAAACGACAATATATCCGTGTAATCCAGCGACAAATGGTTAAAACATAGTTCAGCTCCAGATAATTGCTCAATAAAGTCAAGAAAAAATGTTTGCTGGGATTCCATTAACAGTTTGCCGAATGCACAGGCAAATAAAATTACATGTTGTTAGTGGATTCCGCGACAGACATCCCAGTGTCATCAGCCTTCTCAAAGTAGTACGGGCTACGGCGAAATGGATGACATCCCGTCCTCTACGTTTGGTCATGCATTGAGTTCGACCGGGGGCTAAAAAAACACTTGTTAGTGGAATGCGGGTACCGCATAGTGTTATTGGAATCCGCATATTGTGCGTGTAGTTCGCATCTGGTTTGCGGAATCCGCATATTAAGTGTGGAATCCACATTTTGTTTGCGGAATCCGCATATTGTTTGTGGAATCCACATTTTGCAAAACCGCATATTGTTTGCGGAACATGCAAACGCATACTGTTTTCGGAATCCGCTTATTGTTTGTGGAATCCAGTAGCAGACATTAAGATAATTTACTATTCAGTATAAAATAGTTAGCGGATTCCGCAAGCTTATTACCTTTTCTTAAACCGATTTGTTCTTGGAACTTGCCTTTCCGTGTCGTGTGTCGTACAAGTTAGATCTAATTTCGTATAAAAAAGTTATTAAGGCCGGCATATGATACCGGCTGCAATAAAAAAGCTACTTGAATTTGGGGAGTTTTCGATTTCGATAGTGTTGTCACGACAGTTCGCACAAACACATTTCAGCCAATTTGCATATGAGATTTTCCAGTCAAAATAAGTGAGACATTTCGGTGTCCCACTCTTTAACCCTACGATATATAACCCCCTCTGTTTACACCCCCTATATTATAACCCCGTAACATGATAACCCCACAGCAATTTAACCCCCTTTTAATGACGATAATTTGTTTCAAATTAAGTCCTTTTTATAAGTACAGGAGTAGTCCAATTAAGCTTACTAATTGAGGCCTGAAAAGCTAGTCCTAATTCACTTGATGCCTCTAGCATCTCAAAAATAATTGCATTTCGATTAGTAAGAGAAATAATCCTTCACTCACGCGTTTAAAACAGAGATAACCTACATGGTGCTAATTGAAGGCAACAAAAGACGTTTGTGAGTTTTATAAAAAAAAATCATACTGCCTATTTCTTTAACCATTGTTATACCACTCTATCAGATCAGATATAATGTTTGAAGCGTCATTCCATTTTACTTTATCTTCGAAAGACAAACAAATGCTAGTGGTATCAGGCCACGAGTATTACCTTAAACGAAAAAACAAGACAACAACAAATTGGAACTGCTCAAAGTACCAAACCCATAAATGTCGCGCAACAGCAATTACGGATGGAAAAAACTTTATTGAAACGAGGGGTCAACATAATCACGATATTTCCACAAGAAAACCTGATGCTCGACTAGTTTTGAAAAACATCAAGGAACTAAGCCATAGTAACACCCCAACTGTCGCAGTCGCAACCACCATTCAGCCCATTACAGACAACATTGCCACTCAACTAGCCCTACCATCCGAAGAAAATTTAGTTCGCACCGCACAACGAGCGCGCAAGGAACGACAAGAAGTCTTATCAGTCTCCCCAGCAACCAGAAGTTTTTTCGAAATACCCGAACTTTTCAAAAATTTTATTAGATTTGACAGTGGGCAAAATGATCACGAGAGGATTATTTTATTCGGCGACCCTGACATGCTACGTGTGCTTGAAACATCCAACTTTTCGTTGGCTGATGGAACTTATAAAGTCACCCCGAAAACGTTTTATCAACTTTACTCCATACACGTTAGTCTTTCAGGAATAGCCCCTGCTTGCATATATGCGTTCCTGCCAAATAAAACAGAAAAAACTTACCACCGTTTCTTAGAAGCCCTAAAAATACTAGCCCCTGATAGTAGACCTGAAAACATTTTACTGGATTTTGAGCAGGCCGCTGTTCAAGCGTTTCAGAAAAATTTCCCCGAGACCAAGCTGTCGGGATGTTTCTTTCATCTTTCACAAAGTTTTATGAGAAAAATCGCGGAGCTCGGATTTACTAGGGTAATATGAGAGGGGGTTAAGAAAAAGGGGGTTACAAAACACGGGGTGATAAGCTGGGGAACCAGACATTTCAGCCATAGACTTTTTGGCCAAAAAAATAAGTGGAAAAGAACTAAGTTTAAAAAATCAAAGAGATAGAAACGAAGAGCATGTTGTTAAGATGAGTGAACATTGTTTGTACAAATTTTCAAATAGTTGTGAATTTCATTTCGCTGGTATTTGATTTCGTTATTTTGATTGGCATTCACATACTTTGTTTTCGCTTTCCTAATTTCTTTTTCGGCCATGGGTCTTTCGCCGTTAAAACCAGTGTTTTTTTGTTCCTCTTTGAAACGAGAGATAAATTATAAAATTCGGCAAGATCGATTTTTCGTTGCAACAAACTTGTTGAAGTTGACATTTCATCCTTTCAAAGCTTTGTTAGTCCGAGATTCATCGTGGAAAAGCCTTTTATAAACTTTCCAATTGGCCACTGCAAGTTTTGGCTCCGCTCCTCGAGGACCTCGCACCGGACCAATCTAAATGTCCTCAAAACGGTTGAACAAAATCGACAGCTTTTTGCTAAATTGGCTCCGACATATCTTTTTTTTGCAGCTCTTCATGTCCGAATACAAGTATTTTACTGGAAGTTTTTCATATTGAGGTGAAATTGATTTTCATCTAAATACTTCCTTTGGTGTCACAGTTTTTATTTGCGTCAGACCGCTTGGCCAAAATTAAAAAAGTAAAACGAGTTTCAGCTGCTGGTTGCACCTTTTTAACGGCATTGCGGACAACGTCTTCAAATTCCATGACAATTTTTGGGCCGATTTGATCAAAGCCGCTGAAGAAGTTTACTTGTTCTGTTTGGCAGCAAACCTTAAACTATTGGTATCAAGTTATCTTTTACGACATGAATTGATTAACTTGCAATACCATACATCAGACTGATACAGAAGAGCAAGAGCAAGCAAAGTTGCAAACCTAAAAACTCCGTCTGATGATATGTCGGAGGATTTAAAATAAGAGGTTTATCACCACTGTCCGTGATTGGAAGTTTATCTGGGGGGTCTGCAGCGTTAACAGGAAGCAGTGAATACAAATTGACGGGGAGCGTTCTTCGTGCAGGTTGCCTTTTCTTTCACTTCGTTAACAATTTTTGCAAGTATCTTTGGTATCAGCTTGGAAGATGACAATGCTCACTTTTAATAATAAGTTAACGTACATTGCCATTTAATAAGGCCGTTTTCCGAAGTTTTTTTTGATATCTACAGCCATCTAGGCATTGATATTTTTCCCGCGTGTAAAAGTGACGAGTTCCGTAATAGATAAACGTGGTTTTAAATATAGGAATGGAACTAAAATGGAACGTGCACTTTTTTATTGGCAATAGATATATCTGTTCGTTAATGGGGATTAACCAACGATGATCAGGCCTTTTAAACAAAAAGTGAATTGCTTAAACAAACTTTAACTGCTCATTGCTTAAAATTTTTACAACGAATAGTTACTGAGTCGATAAGAACCTTCTATTTCCACATTTCCTAACCAAACTACCCATTGACCTGTAAGGCGGTTTCCCCTAATGGCTTACCCTCCTCCGCCTTAGGCTAAGTAAGGACATCGGCGTAACTAGGTGGCAAGAACGTGATTTGGTCAAAAAGTTAGTCTGTTCTTTCTAAATTGCGTAACAATTTAATATTGCCCAATATTGTTCGTATTTTCAAAGGGTAATAGTCTCAGATCCAAAGTTGGTTACATGGCCTAACGACTGATCCAGAACTAAGCAAATTACATCATTCTGTGTTATTTTGATTGGGTCATTTGAAAGGCATTATTTATATGCCGCTTCACTTTTCGTCTTTTTAAAGTGAAAAAGTTATGATGCGCGTACCTTCTAACTAGTAGCGCGTAGCAGTCTATTTTAGGCGCGAGTATCAAATTAGTCAGGCGCTTATCAAATTAGTTGAGGGGCGCGTAGCTTTCATCATTTTGGTATGCTAATGTTTAATTTGTCTGAAATTTCTTTCTCCGAAATGTCTAGGTTATTTTGTCTGAAATTTCTTGTTTTAAGTTGGCTGAAATATCTCTCTCTGAAATCTCTAAACATGTTCGATAGCCTTAGAAGATTTCTCAGGGAATGCAATCGAAATAGTCCCTTGTAGCCCATGTCGGGAAGAAAAATGACTACCACTAACGAGTTTTTAGGAAATGGCTGCAATCTGCTGCTAATCAGCTGCATCCAACGTTTTTAGTGGATTTATTTATCGGTAATTTGAATATTTTTTCAATCTAGACAACTCAGAAGTCTTCTTTTGCCAAAATAAATGAAGTTTTTTTGACACGCAATATTAAAAATCTGTCAAAAAGCTGAGAAGCAGCGGTATAACGATTTTTCGTTACATTCGCGAAAAAGGATTAGCGGCGAAACGTCTTAGTGGTGTGAATTCTCTAAATGCGATCAAGTTCGAGTTTCAAGGCGAGCTAAATGAAATTAAGCCAGAGTATTTTGCTTACTATAAAAAACAGTTGTCGGAACTGATTTCCATGATGCAAATGATTCATAGAGTATATCAAGCGCATCTAGCCTTTCTTGCAAATAGATAAGACTGAAGTTAGAATCATATTCTTCAGGTATCATTGTCTAGATGGTTTTCAGTGGTATATACTCAAAATTGTTTTGATGATTATATCAAGATTTCGTACATTTTATCGTGGAACCAATGATTGCAAAAAATTGAGGCGAGAACAGATGACAGAAGTAGAATGCGTTGTTTAGATGAGACAGACAAGAAGAAGTTGTACCATGATGCCAACGTGTATGCCTCGCACCTCAAGTGGGTTCCTCTGGACGAACAGAAGGAACTGTTCCAGGAACATGAACCGAAGCCTCTTTATGGAGACATACTCGTGGCAAAGATGCTACCAGGACACGAGATTGACTTGCGTTGTTTATGCTATAAAGGTCGGAATGCTCAGAAAATTGATAATCCTATCATACTGGTCTCATCGATTTCGTCAAATTTAAAAAAATGATTCCTTGCAACATGTAATGTTGACTGGTTCCAACATAGAAAGTTGTCGGATATAAAGTTGTCTGCTTTTTGCTATCGATTTTATCTTTGGCTGAAGTAATTGACAACTTGAAATATCTAAGTAATAATGAACAATCAGTCGGGAAAACTTGAGTTTAAGCATGACAAAATGAAGGCATATTACTCTCTCCATCATGGAATTTCAAAAGGCCAAAAAATAATTTGAATAATTTTAACTCTAGTTGTGGGTTTTAGTTTTTATAGTTTCCAGTAGAAAGACCAATTGATCAAATTTTCTAAAATTGGGTTAATTTGGGTCAACTGTTTGAAATTTTCAAAGTTCAAAGAGCCTTGGATGACAAACTTCTTTTCTCGGTTTTCTTCAGTTTTTAAACTTTTTTGGCTGTTTGCCTGTGTCTGAAAGGTTCAATGTATCAATCAATAGAGATTTTAAGATATGGGGATTATCAAAGCTTGGCCTGTTATGGGGATTATCAGTTAGTGTTATTTCCAGGTATTGGAAGAGATCACGCTAAATTTTCGCCAGTCGCCACTGCCTCTTACCGATTGATGCCCTACATCAAATTAAAAGAACCCATTTATGATGAGGAAGCATTCAAACTTCAGGGGTTTTTTGCAAATGGAGTCATCGCAGTTGAACCTACCAAGAAAGGACGAATGACTGCACGCGTCGATAATGTAAGAGCGGACACGTGCAACAGACAAGTGCTAGAAGATGAAGAAATGAGTCCGAAAGTGGAAATTTCAAAAATCAGAGACCATTTTTTGTTTACTGTTGAAAGTGTTTCATTCTTTAGACCAGACGAGTTAGTTGTCGAGGCTTTGGATGTGCTATGTGCTAAATGTGACACATTGATTGAATTTTTAGGAAATTGATTGATAGTTGAATGAAATTTACAATTTATTTTTGTTCAGAACAGTTTTTTTTCCAATAAACGGTCTATTCCACTGCTTTTATCCCTTCCTAGAAATATTTTGTGGTTTATCGGAGATTAGAATGAAAGACTTAATTATAGAAAATTCTTTTAGCGAAAACGTTGTGGTTTTTAAGAGTATTTCAAAAATCAGAGACCATTTTTTGTTTACTGTTGAAAGTGTTTCATTCTTTAGACCAGACGAGTTAGTTGTCGAGGCTTTGGATGTGCTATGTGCTAAATGTGACACATTGATTGCATTTTTGGGAAATTGATTGATAGTTGAATGAAATTTACAATTTATTTTTGTTCAGAACAGTTTTTTTTCAATAAACGGTCTATTCCACTGCTTTTATCCCTTCCTAGAAATATTTTGTGGTTTATCGGAGATTAGAATGAAAGACTTAATTATATAAAATTCTTTTAGCGGCCAAGATAAAACGTTGTGGTTTTTAAGAGTTTTTCAAAAATCAGAGACCATTTTTTGTTTACTGTTGAAAGTGTTTCATTCTTTAGACCAGACGAGTTAGTTGTCGATGCTTTGGATGTGCTATGTGCTAAATGTGACACATTGATTGAATTTTTGGGAAATTGATTGATAGTTGAATGAAATTTACAATTTATTTTTGTTCAGAACAGTTTTTTTTCAATAAACGGTCTATTCCACTGCTTTTATCCCTTCCTAGAAATATTTTGTGGTTTATCGGAGATTAGAATGAAAGACTTAATTATAGAAAATTCTTTTAGCGGCCAAGTTAAAACGTTTTGGTTTTTAAGAGTATTTCAAAAATCAGAGACCATTTTTTGTTTACTGTTGAAAGTGTTTCATTCTTTAGACCAGACGAGTTAGTTGTCGAGGCTTTGGATGTGCTATGTGCTAAATGTGACACATTGATTGAATTTTTGGGAAATTGATTGATAGTTGAATGAAATTTACAATTTATTTTTGTTCAGAACAGTTTTTTTTTCAATAAACGGTCTATTCCACTGCTTTTATCCCTTCCTAGAAATATTTTGTGGTTTATCGGAGATTAGAATGAAAGACTTAATTATAGAAAATTCTTTTAGCGGCCAAGATAAAACGTTGTGGTTTTTAAGAGTTTTTCAAAAATCAGAGACCATTTTTTGTTTACTGTTGAAAGTGTTTCATTCTTTAGACCAGACGAGTTAGTTGTCGAGGCTTTGGATGTGCTATGTGCTAAATGTGACACATTGATTGAATTTTTGGGAAATTGATTGATAGTTGAATGAAATTTACAATTTATTTTTGTTCAGAACAGTTTTTTTTTCAATAAACGGTCTATTCCACTGCTTTTATCCCTTCCTAGAAATATTTTGTGGTTTATCGGAGATTAGAATGAAAGACTTAATTATAGAAAATTCTTTTAGCGGCCAAGTTAAAACGTTTTGGTTTTTAAGAGTATTTCAAAAATCAGAGACCATTTTTTGTTTACTGTTGAAAGTGTTTCATTCTTTAGACCAGACGAGTTAGTTGTCGAGGCTTTGGATGTGCTATGTGCTAAATGTGACACATTGATTGAATTTTTGGGAAATTGATTGATAGTTGAATGAAATTTACAATTTATTTTTGTTCAGAACAGTTTTTTTTTTCAATAAACGGTCTATTCCACTGCTTTTATCCCTTCCTAGAAATATTTTGTGGTTTATCGGAGATTAGAATGAAAGACTTAATTATAGAAAACTCTTTTAGCGGCCAAGATAAAACGTTGTGGTTTTTAAGAGTTGTGGTGCCAAAATAACGCTTTTTCTCTAACTCATATCAAAGAAATTACCAGGGAAAATGCGCATTACAAAAGTTCGACTGTGTATTTGCTAATGAATTTTCGTTCATCATCGATGGACTAAAAATCAGAGACCATTTTTTGTTTACTGTTGAAAGTGTTTCATTCTTTAGACCAGACGAGTTAGTTGTCGAGGCTTTGGATGTGCTATGTGCTTAATGTGACACATTGATTGAATTTTTGGGAAATTGATTGATAGTTGAATGAAATTTACAATTTATTTTTGTTTAGAACAGTTTTTTTTCAATAAACGGTCTATTCCACTGCTTTTATCCCTTCCTAGAAATATTTTGTGGTTTATCGGAGATTAGAATGAAAGACTTAATTATAGAAAATTCTTTTAGCGGCCAAGATAAAACGTTGTGGTTTTTAAGAGTATTGAACGCGAAAAAATGTGAACGATTTCTAGTTTCGAATTTCATTTCAAGATTTCCATCAGAATAGAAACTTTACATGTTAATCCAGTTTTCTCAACTTGGGTTAATGTTATAAAAAAAACCGCCAGTCATAAATCGTTCTAGAAACTCAAAGATTTTAAAGGGCATCTATTTTTTTATCTATCTATTTATATTTATTTTCGTTCATTAATCTTTTCCGATCTTCGATTGGCTGTTTTTATTGGAAAAAAATTGTTTGATAAAAAGTATTATGACAATGTATGGGATCGGGTTTTTTTATTAAGAGTAATGAACGTAGTGAGTACTCTTATTTAGGTCTTGCTGATTTTTTTTTCAGGAAAAAATCTTAAAGTTTGATTTTTCGCGTTTTGATTTCTTGTCAAGTTCAGTGCATTTCTATTGTTATAGGAAGGCAAACTCCACTATCGAACAGCAAAAGTGTAAAGGTCACGAAAAACGTGATCGACTTCTAATTTCGAAAATGGAAATTAATTATCGAATTTCCCAGCGAAATAAAAGTTTTGCCTATTGATCCAGTTTTCTCAAACTGTGTTTAATTTAACAAAAAAGTGTCCGTGATAAATTGTTCTACAAACTCAAAGGGCTTTAAGGCCATCTATTTTTTTTTCTTCGAGAGTCAAAAGTTGAAGGTTTTTGAAAAAAAAACAAGTCAGTTTTTTTTCAGTTTCGTTGCGTTTATTTCTCTTTTCCAATCTTAAAAACTATTTCTCCAAAACTATTTAACGAGTTTTTACGTTTGCAAAAACAAGTGTTTTGTAATTGGGATTTAGATTTTTTCCCGCAACATTTTTAGTCCATCGATGATGAACGAAAATTCATTAGCAAATACACAGTCGAACTTTTGTAATGCGCATTTTCCCTGGTAATTTCTTTGATATGAGTTAGAGAAAAAGCGTTATTTTGGCACCAGTAGACAATATCTTGCTCATTGTTTGTCGGCATTATCCATCTAACAGAGATGGCGACGAGGAGGAGGTTTTTCAACACGTTTGAGAGCATCTGTTACGACCTCGCCCTTGACTTAAGGTTTCTTCGATGTGTTAATCTCTTTCTTTTATTTTCTTTTTTTTTCGTTTGTTTTGCTTAAGACCCTGCATGCTTCCAGTTTTTGAAGTCACGCTCTCACGTGCTTTTCTGATGAAAGCCTAGGTGTTCAGATTGAATTTAGCGGCGCCAGCTGAAGTGGATTTATTCCCTGCATGCTTGTGACTAGCTTCCTTTTTTCATGACCATTAGCTCAGTTTTTACCTCTTGCAATTCTTGGTCAATCGTCTTTTTGAGCACAGTTCTTGATGCAGTTTTTCGATAATCGAAAGACTGTTCTTTTACTTGTTGAAGATCGGTAATCAGAGCAACATCATTCAAAGTGTACAACTTGTTTATTGGCCATTCTTAAACCAATACAGGCTTCGCAATTTATTCGTTTGACCAAGTTTTTTGATCACTTGCAAAGAGCATACTCAAAGAGTTCGACAAATTGAATCGTAATTCTGCAATCGCTCCAATAAAACTTGTTCGGTTTGTCGAGACATATCTATCTGTTTAATAAGTTTATCAAAACAATTAGGCAAATAATTTTAATAGTATAAACAGACTGAGTCCATTCGTACGTTCAATAAAGCTTAAATGCTAAATAATGTGATACAACCAAGATTTTCTTTAGATGGGTTCAAATGGGCGATGTTGATCATGACAGCAGGGTTGGTGAATTTCCTGGAAAGAACACTGTGTGTTGTGGAGGAAGAGTGGTCACGGGGCGAGAATGGCCCTTTGTGGTTGGGGGACTGATATTCGTGTCTATTCTAGTGGGAATGTTCGCAGTTGCAGAGTTGGTAACAACGAATACTTGCGAATACTTAAATTCCTTTTTGAAGATAACTTTTTGTTATATTGATTTTACGTATACACAATTCTACAAAGATTATGTATATGAGCATGCATGGACATAAAAACTCATATAGAATCAATTTCCGCGAATCACTCTTAGATATCAATTTTGATTTTATTCAACAAGTTTTTTTAGAGCGCCGTTTCTAATCGAACACTTCTCGATTGTCGTAGTCGTGATACCAATTGTGCTTCTTTTGTATGGACTGCTCAACTTCCTCTGTACTCTCTTGAAGGATCCGGGTATTATCCCGCGCTCTACACAAAGCGAAGCGTGCTATTTGGAGAGGGATCTAGGTTAGCACCAAATGGAGTTTTTGTATCGTCGTATATACGATAGCAACGGCAATTCTAATGTGTTAAGATAATTACACTTGTGAGAGCAAGTGTCTTGTAATCGGAACTAGACTTTTTTTCCTGTAAACAACTTTTCTTGCACTTTCCTTCTCTTCTTTATCCACTTCTTCTTTTCTTGCTTCTCTTGTTGCCTTCTCTTAACAATTTCAAAGTTTTCCCACTTAGCTTAGCGGTAACGCCGTCGCTTTTGCACCCTAAGGTCTCGATTTCGAGTCTCAACCGGACCTTGTTTTGTTTCAGTATGTATGCAATTGAAGTTTTTTTCGGTAGAAACTGAGTTGTCGGACTTTCGTTTGTCTGCTCAAGTTTTGTAGGCTAAGTTGCTTCATCATTGATTTTGCCTGTGTTCTAAGCAAGTTTCATAGCAGTTACTAGTGCAGGTGGTGTAAATTCTACTTTCAGGGGGACCTGAAAAGTTCTTAAAAAAAGTTTTTTTTTTTAAATCATTTTCTTTGGATCAACTGGTGTCTGCTCGAAGAATGTGGGTTTAGTTGCCACATCACTGATTGTTCTTGTGCTGTAAGTAACTTTCATTATTGTTGCTAGTGCAAGTGTTGTTCATTCTAGATTTAGGGAGGACTTAAAACATTTGACTTTTTTCATAAAATATTTTTTTCCATGCAGTGTGGTGTCTGCTGAAAGATTGTCGTCTAAGATGCCACATTATTGATTTTTTTGTGATGCTAGCAACTTTCAGTCTCAATTTAAGTGCAAATTTTGTTCATTGTAATTTCAGGTGGGACTTTGAATTTTAAAGATTTTTTGTAAAGTCATAGTATTTTTGGCTCAACTTATCTGCTCAAAGATTGTCGGCTTCGTTTCCTCTTCGTAAGTTTTGTTCCGTTGCTAATTTAATTTTTAGCATGTTTGTCTGGAAAGAACTTCTATGAAGGCAATCGAAAGTTTAAATTTTATTTGTTTTCGACTTTGTGTTGCTTCGCAACTGGTGCGAGGCTCCGCTTCGCCTCTGTGGTCAACTTTTTTCTGACCGAAGTCGCAAATTTTTGTGTTCATTTCTAGTACCGCTTTATTACAGTGCATTCAGTATTATTAGAAGTAAAAACGAAGACTTCGATTTACCCGGTGGCGAATATATTCAAATTAAATAGTATTGTGAATTTATGAGAAGAATGAACAGCGGCATTTAACTGAACATGGTTATAACATATGAAAGTTATATTTTGAAGGACGCAACTCATAGAGAAAGTGGTCACCGCAGATAGTGAGATCCATCCCCTGCTCTAGCAAGATTTTTTGTTGACTTATTGTTCCGACATTTTGAAAAATGGAGAGGAACTTTATATTCTTTTTTTTTGGTTTTCCACGCTAAACCAGCTACCACATATAGTCATCGGAGAGAGTTGAATGATATATTATGTTAAAGCAATTTTAGTCTTGGTACGAACGACATGAAAATATTCAAAATTTTTTTACCAGTCGAGAAAACCAGGTTTGAAATTTTTTTTGTCTTAATTCGATCGAATATAGCGAGCGAGCAGGCTTACAATAGCTTGTTTTAATGGCTTAGAAGCTTACAATAGCCTAGTTTAAAATGTAAAAAATGATAATTTTACTTGGACCTTTTTGGAATCAAACAGAAAACATATGAACGCCTTTTTGGAATCAAAAATTCAAAAAACTGCAAATTGATTTTTTTTTGGTTTCTAGTCATTTTTCTACAAAATTTGTTTTTCACTTTGCTTATTACTATGAATGTCGAATATGCCTTATCTCTAGTTTTTCGTGCAGATCCTTTTGTCACAACACGGAAAAATATGACACTAATTAAAAAAAAAAAACTTTTTTGTATTTTTTAAGGCTATAGTCGAAACATTCTCTGCTACTTGCTTTCTTTGTTTTCTTCTTCGTCTTGTTTTCATATTGTTTACCCGTGTGAGAGCAAGCGTCTTGTAATCAGGAACTATAATTTTTTTGAACTTACTTTTTATTGAACCTGAACAAAAATCCAGGCTCCGTCCCTCTTGGTCTAAAGATAACGCGGCGGCCTTTGCATTCCAAAGTTTGAGGTTTGAGTCCCACCTGGACCTTGTTTTTTTCAGTATGTATAAAGTTTTGGCTTAATTGGCGTCTACCCAACTGTTGTCGGTTTTGTGGCCGCTCGGTAAATTGTTTAGAAAGTCTAGGAGTCGCGGTTTTGTGGGTTTTGATGCACAGGCGTCGTACTTTTTTTCTAACCTGTAAAAGATGGAAGGATCTTAAATTCAACTTTTCCCGCATATTGAGTCACAAAAAATAAATATCAGATCATATAAAAGTTCATTCATTCGTAATTGAATCGGTATTAATAATTTTTCAAATTCAGTGTGTCGAATGTAAAGCGTGCTCTTTTAGTCCTTTTAGACTGTGAAAGTCTTTTGTTTTTTTTTTGTTAAAGAAGCCGTTCTAAAATTTTAGCAAGCTTTAGTGCCCACCTCTTCCGCACGCAAAAAAAATAGAAGAATTGCGTTTTTATTGCGGACTGGTCGGAATCTCACCAAAGCCACAAACTTTTTTTGTTATTACAAGCAAACTCTTGTTTTATGTTACGACTTTCCTTTTTCCAACCCAATTCGCCTTTTTTGTTCATATTGTGTTCAATTGTTTGTTGGATGTGTTTATATACCAGCGCTACCTTTCACTCGATGCTATTATTTCAAGGATATTGTTTTTTCATCATTACCTTGTCCTTCTTGAGGAGCATAGGGCCTCAACCGAGTGCATTTGTATCACGCAGTTCCCTCTGAATGTCCTTCTTCGTGTAAGTTGTGGTCGGTCTTGCCTTAGCGTGGTTGGTTGGTTCCAGTTAAGCGCTTGTTTGAAAACATCGAAGTTGTCTTTCCGAAATGTATGAACAACATTCCTTCGCTTCATTTGAGGATAAAACCAGCTGATCTTCTTTTGCGCGGCAGAGTTTTACTGATCAATTTGCATAGGACCTTAATACAAACAAGACTGCTCGTATCAGGGCGAAGCCATGAATGTTCCGACTGCCTATTAAGGTTTATGGAGCAACAGTAATAACATAAAACAATCAATTGGAATAAAATAAAATGAATTTTTTTTCTCTAAAATTGAAATTTTTTTAATGAAAATCATCCCCCCACACGCCATATATATTCCAAAAGAATAGAATTCGTTCCTGGTAACAAATCAATTATGACAAATAAGCTTCTTTTAACCAATTTCGAACATTTTCTATGACGGATTAAATCTCCGCTTACGCGTTACTAGCGCGAAGTATATCGCGCGTTAATTGTCCCAAAATGGCTATCTTTAAACCCCCATTACTTTACGAAAGTTGATCACAGGTAAAATATTGTTTGAAATTTGAGCTCAGGACAACAATAATTTTTGAATGATAAAAAAAATTCCGTCAAAAATGGCTAGTTAAAAAGTCGAAATTTGTCTGAAGAAAAAATTCCTTTTCAAATATTCCCTTAAAAAGTCGAAATTTGTCTGAAGAAAAAATTCCGTTTCAAATATTCCGAGCACAAATATCACGTTTCTTTCTTATCGAAAGTCGGAACATTATTGAATTTTTAATAGCACTGGATGAACCGAGCTCGAATTTAAATATTTGTTTCCAAGTTATGGCGGTTAGAGGAATGTCAGTTCGATCAATTTGGGATAGTTAATGCTAGTTATTTATCAGTGTTCTATTAAAGCGTAGCATATAATAATAATTGTGGTTTCTGCGATTCGCAGAGGATCTATGAAAGGCCATACAGTCTGTCTAAGCATAGTCAGTTTCTCTTATTTCCCCATATTCCGGATGAGTTATTTTGTTGATTGATATGCGTCTCAATAATACGGCTCAATGCAATTTGAATTCCTCTGTTAAATTTGAGCTTTTTTAAAGCAGCTTCAAAGGTATTGATGCTCTAAGCCCAAATTTCGAAAGGTAATTTACCCAAGTTTTTTTGTCATGTTATGGCGGTTTGAAATTGCCAATGCGGCTAATTTGGGTCAATTAATGTGCGAAATTTTTGTGGTACATTAATCTCGGCAAAATCTATTACTTTAAACGATTTGCAAAACAAATCCCACGAAAACTCAACTTTCATTTATTTTTCATCAACAATCCATTTTTTATTTTGAAATTGATTCTATAGGTGTTAAAGAGCAGTCGGATCATTCAGGGCTTCGCCCTTATACGAACAGTCTCGTTAATCTCTTTGTGAACGAAATACTTTGTACATTACGTTGCGAATGGTGGATTAAATTTCTCGTTATTTTTGTAAGTTTTTCATTAGTTGACCGTTCAAGGGTCTTGGTTATGCTAGTTTTTGCGACATCGAATCTGCATCTCAGCGTAATTTTTTCCATTTTTTAAAAGAAAAAGTTCGTCCATTTTTATTTGGCAATATAAAGTGTCAGTGAACGCAGTGAGGACACTTACTTAGGACGTGATGATGGTTTTAATTTTTATTTCAGTTTTTTTCCGATCTTTTCAAGTTCGTTTTAAATCATTCGTTAAAAGTGAATGACTTTTAGGTTCGGAAGTGGATTTTAGTTAAAAGATTTCCCGGCAAAACAATAATCAATTGATCCAGTTTTCTCGAATTGGGCCAGTTTTGTGAAAAAAAGTTGATCACAAAATGTTCTTGAAATTTGGAGCGCCTTAACGTGATATATTTTTTCGACAAATTTTTAAAAGTATGTTTTCTGCTTTACTTGTTCGTTGACAGCTATGTTGAAGTCATTAGTTAGATAAGTTGAATTCTGAAAACTGTGATTTTGCCTGATCTCAGGGACTTGAAGTTCACGAAACCTTCTGTTATAGTAGAAAAGACGGTAGCTGTCAATAGCAAGAGGAAAGGAAAGGAATATGAGCCGACTGTGGTGGTGATTGGAGGCGTGGATGTTGAGATTAAGTGGTGCTCCACGTGCAGACTGTGGAGACCCCCGAGGGCATCCCATTGCCGCATATGTGACAACTGCATTGGTGGGTGGTGTGGTTCAATTGCACTCTGCAAAAGCAAAAGGGCTGACCTAAACATAGACTAGATTTCTCGAAAAAGTGTGGACCCGTCGAAAAACAGCGCGAGCCACTGGTTGCAGATTATCTTCAGAATGTTGCATTTCAACGCAAGTTCGATTCTGTCGTTTGAGTTATCAAAACAGTTGAGAACCTTGTATAAACTCCTTCTGTGTGCTGTACCCATATATGGCAGCAAACATTTTGGTCATGTGCGAGGAGTGTTCACGCCTTCTCATGTTTTCAAAAAACCAGCACCAAACAACACCGTTTGGTAAACAGCCGTTGTTTCTTTGGTTCTTGCTTCGGAAGAACTAAAAGAGCAGTTTTTGATCTGAGGGTCTCTAAATCTCGTTACAGGAATTTCCTTTTTTTTTAAATGAGAAGAGAGCATAAATGGTCGGAGCTATTCGAGATTTTTTTAAAATGTAAAAAGTCAACTAATTAAATTTAAATAGGCTTACAAAATAATGAAATAAATTTGAATTTTCACGTTCCGTCACTATGGGTTACCTATAAGTTTCCTGGCATACTGTTAACGTTTGGTGTGTTTAGAGATGTTTGATCACCATTGCGCGTACATGGGCAATTGCATTGGAAGGAGAAATTACCGCTTCTTCTACATGTATCTACTCTCTATGTCAATACTATTAGTCTACGACCTCGTCTTCTCATTGTACCATCTCGTTCATAGTGAGTGGATTTCTTGATTGGGCTTCCAAATAAACACGAAGTTATCAAGTTAAACCCAGTATGGCCAACCAAGAATAAACCTAAATTAGACTATCTAACAAACTGTCCGAACTCTCATTTAATCTGACGTAACTGGCACATTTATTCCTCATCACACGGCGGAGCATAGTGCGATAATACGATGCAACTTTTTACGATCTAACCTCAACCGCAAATAGAAGTGCTACTTTTGGTTGCACTTTTCAAACGGTTGGCTGTAATGGCCGTAAATTGCCAGGTCAGGGTGATCACGGTATCAGTGCAGTCAGTGCAAAGGGTGATCTGTCAGTGCCAGCAAATGAATATCAGTGAAAATCAAAAATCTAAGCAGGCTTACACCATATTTTCATGTTTTTTTTCAGGTAGTATGAGCAGCTCTGAGAAGAAATAATTAGTTATGTCAAAGTAGTTGGGTGAAAAAATTTGGGCCACTGAGTTGGGCCAATAAAAAAAAGTTGGGCCAAAAAGCCAAAAAAAACTAATTTTTCGAAAAATTTCAGTTCTGGCATTTAATTTAATCAGTGCTAGTATCAGTGCCGTCAGTGCCTGCGATGTTTCAGACACAGTGGCCACCCTGCAAGTGCTCTGAGTTTTGATTAGTAATAGGCTAACACAGTTGATGGTTTTTCAATTCATCAATTGGGATGCCGGACATCAAGCCGGACGGGACTTCAAGCCGAATCGTATAATTAGGGACTTCAAGCCGAACATTTTGTCAAAAGTCATGAATCATGATGAATTTGAAGTTTTTTGAAGAATTTTTCTAATTTCATGAGCTTTCTTTTCAAATTATTGGCTTTTTCAAACTTTTTGAGCCTAATTGATATTTTGGCATATTAAAAATTAAAGCATTGTTGAAGGGGTTTTTCCTGAGTATAATTTATGCATTTCAAAGTCCAGCTGATCTAACTATCTGATGCCAATCTTAAGTGTGCGTTGTTATGAAGAACGCATATTATGAACTAAACTTGCACAAACTTTTGAAAATAAACAATTTATTGATAAAAATTTAGCGTTTTGAGGTGCTTGTTATGTTTTAATTTCGGCTCGAAGTCCCTTCGTCTTGAAGTCTCGTCTTGTTGTTCTAGACTCTATCAATTGAACTGAAAAAGCTATATGTTTCATTCAACAGTATAATTTATATCCCTGTTCAGAAAATTTCCAACTTGATTTACTTCGCGAGATTTTCGAAATGCATAATTTATTCACAATTTGGCTCAATACATTTTACTTTATTACATACAACGTTAGTGTGGTTGCCTTTAGTGTATTACATTCCAACTTATTACATCCAGAGTTTTCGTGTTTTTTAAAGCTCCTGATTTTTTGCCGCTTTCTCGATCGTGTTTGCGAAGCTGCAGCTTCGCCTCTGTGTAGAAAGCTAGTGTTATGGGGATCGACCTTTTACCCGACCGACTTTTTACCAGAAAAGTTATAACATGGACCTCTTACCAGACTCGATAAACAATTTTGAATGACAGATGTAATGATGCCGTTTAGTCTGGTTAAAGACAATTTTTTCACGGTTTCTCGGCGAAGTTTTCTTTGTTCTAACCGCTTTCTTTGCGAATCCTCCACTATTGTAAATTTATCTTAACTGAGTTATGGCAGTATGGTGAGGTGAAAGGCTGGTCTGGTAAAAGGTCGGTCTGGTAAAAGACGTAGCAAATTGAAATATTTATTCGTCCGCTATAAATGTGTCAGTTACGTCCGAATAAACGAGAGTTCGGGTCGTTTAGTAGATGGACTATTTTAAATGTATTCTTTGTTGACCATGCTCTTCAAGCTTGGTTTTTGCCATTTTCAGGTCTCATCACCAAAGATAAACTCGTAAACACGGAAGCAGTTCTGACGGCAATAAATTGTCTAATCTTGGGAATGACAAGTATGGGAGTCCTGGTTTTTCTGTCCATGCATGTTTACTTAGTGGCCTATGGGTTGACGGCTTCTGAGGAGTCAAAGGCAGCGATGTCCATTTATATTTACAATTCTAATTATAATCAGTTTTTGTATAAATTTTAATTTATTATTCCGGTCACTTCACGAAGTGTGAAGGAAAGAACTGGAGAATAATTTTCTGATTGTTAGACCAACTTCCACGAACATCGGTGACACTGACATCTCAATTTTAATGACTCGGAATTTAGTTCCATTGCAATTTTAAAGTGTCAATCAATGTATTGAAGACACTGATATAGGTCTCGTCGCGATTATTTTTGGGTTTTCAGGGGAAAAAATCTTGAAAATTTGTCACTCAAATTTGACTTTTTTTGTGTTTTGTCTTTTGATTTATTTTTAAGTTCAATTCATTTCTTTTTTTTTCCACGAGCATAGCGTAGTGTGATAGTACGTTGCAACTTGTTTTCCAACCGAAGTCGCAAATAAAAAGGCTACTTTTGGCGGCACTTTTGAATCGGTAGGCTGCATTAGCAGTATCATGCCATGTGCTTTTTGATTCAGTTGATGTTAACACAGTTTTTAGTTGATGTTGATTGTTAACACAGTTGATGTTTTTAATTTAGGGACGATGAACGTATATAGGTCGCGGCGATTTTTTTTTTCGTTCTTTTTTCAGGAAAAGTCTTCAGGCTCAAATTTATGATTTCTTTTCAAGTTCATTTCTTTGTTAAAAGTAAGACAAAATCAACAATCGAACAGCAAAAGTTTAAAGGTCGTGAAAAACGTGATCAACTTCTTTTTTCGAAAGTGGAATTCAATTTTCAAATTTCCCTGCGAAATTAACATTTTACCTTTTGATCCAGGTTTCTCAAATTGGGTTTATTTCAGCATCATAAAAAATCCAATCATAAACTTTTCTGAAAATTTACGTAGTTTTAAGGGCATCTATTTTTTCTTTGAAATTCGGAAATTTTTTTCATAAAAGAAATCGTTTCTTTTTTGTAAATTGCGTTCATTGATTTTTTTCTTAACTGTCTGTTGGCTGTGTTTCATCAATTGAAACAAAAAGCTTTGTTTCATAGAGCAGTATAATAATTAAAATCCCATTCAGACATTTTTCAATTCGATTAGCGAGATTTGTCAAATGCATTATTTATACGCATTTCGGCTTAATACATTTTTAATTATTTATATGAAAAATAAGCGTGGTTGTCTTTAGCTTATAACATGCCGAGTTTTTAAATGTAAAAATTTAGTTTTGCGCATTTTAAAGCTCCCGAAATTTTTCCGCTTTCTCGCTTTTGTTTGCGTTGCAGTTTGGCCTTTATGTTAAAAGGAAGGCAAACTCCTCTATGGAACGGCAAAAGTGTTAAGACCACGAAAAAATAGGAATGACTTTTAAATTTAAAAGCGGATTTGAAGTTTCATAAATTATTATGGAAATTCGTTGAGTTTAGTAGCTTTTATATTGTTTCTGTGAATGTCGAAATTTGACATTTTTCAAAAAACAAGAGTGATATTCTTACTTCCTTGATTTCATTGACAATTTTCCATCTGTCTCCAGGCCAATAATTGTTTTTAGCCAAAATTATCTTTTGTTTTGTGGTTTTAAACCTAATTCAATTGTTCTTTTAAAAAATATTCGGATCATGTGAACAATTTCTGCCCTTAATAATCCAAGCGAGCAATCTCTCAATTAAAATTAGCGGCAAACTCAAGCCTGAAGACTTGTTTGCACTATGCACAAATCTGATTGGCTGAAAAATATAACTGTTAACTAAGTGAACATACTCCCCCTAATTTGATTTAGGAGTAGATTGTTCACTTGATCCGAATGTTCAACTACAAATTTAGTTTTTTCCCCAATTTTTCAAACTTAAATCACGGTAATCGGATTATTCTGTGCTACTGCGAAGCATCTGGTTATCCTTGATTAGATATAAAAACAAATACAAATGTAATGGAAAAGTTCGATTTGGATACAACACCTAAAAATGGAAAGCAACTTACATCCAACTTAAATTTACGTCAAGTTGCGTCAAATCGTGATGCGACATAAGTAGACTGTAGGTAGGTAGCATTTCAAAAAGCAAAGTTTCGTCGCAATGCAATTTGCGATAATAACAAGAAAGATAGTTAAACAAAATAGATTTAACATGGCTCAGCAACAAAAAGGCCATGCCTTAGCGGATGTGGGAATCGATATGGAATATTTTAACAGAATTACGAAGCAATTAACCTTGATTTAATGGGTTTGCGATTAATTGTCGATTTTCATACTTGCGACGAAGTGTCGCTTGCCTTGAATTGCCACCTACATCAAGTTGAGGTCATGTCATGTCAAAAGTTCTAGGAAAGGTATCTGTTTACACAAGCAAAGCTTGTGTTATAGTATTAAAACATTTAGTTTCTATAAAGAAACTCAAATGGTGATAATGATCATATAAAAAAAAAGTAGCTCAGAATTGTCGCATAAGTGGACATACTTTATTCTCTTGTGAATCTTTGATCAAAATTTTGTTAAATTTATCTGCAATTAAAGTTTTCGTTTTTTTTTAAATGGGCATTGCTGGTTGAAGGGAGTCTGGACTCCTGGCAGTGGAACCCAGTCCAACCACAGTCCCTTCACTTCGAAGAGGGGTTGTGCTGTGAATACTGTTCAGAGTATATGTGGGCCGCAGTACCCAAGGTAACACAATATGTAGCCATTTCTCAGTGTTCTCAACAATTTCATTGCCTTGTCTTTCTTGAGTCAATTTTTATGCAACGATGAACGCAAGCCTAGCATTTAAATTGCGTGACTATCAAGCTATTTTGTCTTCGGAAGAGGTGGACCGATGGTGGACAACCGTCTATTCTCTTGTCATATTGTTCATGAAAGCTTGTAGAAAAAACCAGCTACCCCACTCTGTTAATTGTCAACCGCATGGTGGCTTGAGGGAAAAGACCCCACGCCCCTCGGAAATTGGATAAACTCGCGATACCAATTGTGTTGTTTTGTATTAAATTTAGCGATATCAGTTTTTGGCCGACTAGCTTTAAAAAATTTTCCGAAGGATTCTAAGTTCTCACTAATATAGGGTTTCTTTGAAAATCAATCTACATATAACGAAAAAAGCTGCATTCAGAATTTTGTCAGAATAATTATAGCAATTGCTGTTTTTTAGATTGAAATTTTGAGCGTTTTTCCAAGATTTAAGGAAATTGTCATGGAGACGAGACTAAGTGAATTTTGTCATGGTAAATATCGATAAAAACCTGTAGTACCCGTCTTAGCATTTCCAAGTCCCTTAATGACTTAATTATAATTTTATTTGCAGGTGTGTTCGTGTTGAAAAACGATGCATTGCAGAAAGATCACTCTGGGTCGATTTGTCGAATTCAGATGAGAAAGTGGGACACCAAAGCCACAGTGAAAGTAGCAGAAGCTTCACGTCAAATTCAGTTCATCCTATTCAAATAGTCATTTGAGTTTCGTTTCTGTTCCTGTTTAGAACCAACTAAAGCCTGCATAGTCATATCGCATTGGCGCAAGCATCTTATCAAGTTTTACTTTTTGTTAATAGTGTAAATATTGTAAAATTATCCATAAGTTATAATTTTGTAATGTTTAATTTGGATTTGGACGAAAATTGAATCCGCTGTAATTGCATCTAATTAGCACTTGATTCGTTGGTTGATAAAAGTTGACGTCTTATAGATAAATATTAGTCATCGGTTAATGAGGCTAGAAATAGACATCTGTACACCAAGAACATTGCCGCAAATTCGCTCTCACCATTTTCCGTATTAGCTGTTTTCCTACCAACACGCATCATTTTAAAGAAAAATTTGAGCGTAACATATTTCCAGGATAAAATTTCCAAACTATCATTTTTCTTCAGATCTAAAATGCAGCAACCCAAGCAACCCGTTGCCGCTCAGTTTAAGGTTTGTTAAAAGATTTTTAGTTTTTTTTGTTGATTGCTCGCATTTAAAGAGAATCACGTATTTTGAATGTTCGCTTTGTTGCTATCTTGATTCTCTGGCATATCTTGCATTTAGTTTCCCTTTTTGAAATAAACATTTGAACCTCTTGTGCAGTCGAAACATTTATAGTCAAATAGTCTTCAGAGAATTTCTGAAAAAAGGGCATTTGAGTCCTTTTACTTGAGAGAAATGGTATGATTGTGCTTAGGTCATGAGTTCAATTTCAATTGATCACTGTTTGTTTTCAGCTTGTGTTGGTGGGCGATGGAGGTACAGGCAAGACGACGTTTGTGAAGCGCCACGAGACAGGCGAGTTTGAGAAGAAGTACATCGCCACTCTGGGCGTGGAAGTGCACCCCCTAGTGTTCCACACTAACTTTGGAGGCATCCAGTTCAATGTCTGGGACACTGCCGGCCAGGAGAAGTTTGGAGGACTCAGAGACGGATACTACATCCAGGGTGGGTTCTAGTTTCTCCCATAAAAATCATACCGATTATAATAATGATAATGTTCCGACATACTTTTCCAGTTTAATCAAACTTAGGCTGATTTATGTAATTCTCATTTTTGGTCAGTTTATGTTGCGGCGTTTTTGCTTACTTAATTTTTAATTAAGGGTTGGAATTGTTTTTTTTGGTTATGACTGTGCATGTTATACTCTGTGAGTTTTCTAGTTGACTGGTGATTTTGGAGACATTGTTTTGCAGGCCAATGTGGAATTATAATGTTCGATGTGACATCGCGAGTGACTTACAAGAATGTTCCCAATTGGCACAGGGATCTAGTGAGGGTGTGTGAGAACATCCCAATTGTGCTGTGTGGAAACAAAGTCGACATCAAGGACAGAAAAGTCAAGGCCAAGAGCATCACTTTTCACAGGAAGAAGAATCTTCAGGTATTTTAATTTTTTTAAATATTAACTGCTTAAAAGTTTCATTCAAGTGTTGTTAAATGTTCCTGCATTTATTTCGAATCTTGTTTCAATTGACTTAAACTTAAACGTGGTCCAAAAAAAACGAAAAGGTTTTTAAAATTACTGAATTTTTCAGCGGAACTATTTCGTTGGGTGGGTTTTCCAGTTGATGTTATTTATCTCAAAGAAAGTTAGTAGGAAATCAAGTATGGAGTTATATTATCGACCTCGTCATTCGGGTAGTAAAAGTTAAAAAATGTCTGATTTTTTCCTTTTTTGCAGACTAAATTTGACTAGTGCCTGAAGTCCAGCGTTTTTTTTTTTCTACGTTATCCTTTCGGCCAGTAAAAAACAACAGAATATTTGAAAAAAGTATTTCTCTGCACCCTGTGAAAATTTGTGCATTTCTAATAAGGCGAAGGGAAATTTCGGGTTTGTAGGTTCTGATATTTGGCTTTCAATAAATTAAAAATCATTACTGTTTTTCTTCCAGTACTATGACATCTCAGCCAAGAGCAACTACAATTTCGAGAAACCGTTCCTCTGGCTGGCCAGGAAACTTTCGGGCGAGGCTGACCTGAACTTCACCGAGGCACCCGCCCTGCAGCCCCCAGAGGTCAAGATGGACCCCCAGTTGAAACAACAGTACGAGGCAGAATTAGCCGAGGCCATCAATGCGCAACTACCTGACGAGGACGACGATGACCTCTAAATGGACACGTGTAACCTTGTTTGAATATGACAAATGGACTCAAAATTACTGACATGAAATATGCGGCATGTTTTTTTTCTTTTTTTTGCTACCTTTCTTGTTTGCTTCGGCTGACATGTAGAGGGGGCTATATGAGTTTGTTTACATGAAGTTGTGATGATGTTCAAATCTAATTTAAAGTAATGTAAACGAGTGAGTAGTTTTTCATGATGTTGATGATGATTCTCTCATTCGACGCATTTGATAGTCCATTCTGTCCCCTCCACTTTTCACTGGTTTTTTAGTTAATGATTCATTGATGGAGATAGATTGGGTACATTAACTATTTTCTCAATCGTTTTTCATCTGGAAGCAAAGTTATTTAGACGTAGGATAAGTATTGAAAAATAACTGATAGATAATTAGTTAGCCCGGAAATCCAGTTTATTGCAGTTAACATATTTCATCTTCCGACAAAATTTCGCTTTTGTTTGTGTCAATGCACTAAGTGAAGCTGAGTACCCGAATAATGAATTACCCAAATATAAAAATGAAAAAACCCATGTAGCGTAAAACAAGTTTTTGGTATTATATAATGTTTAAAGGAAAAGAAGGCGTCAGAGCAGAATTTGAAAGTAATAGCTTTCAATAATTAAGGGAATTTTGTTCACAAAATCTCCAAAAGTTGTGCTTTAAAACAGTTCTGAAATTTATATGGGAAGTTTTGTGATTTGATGTATTTCGATTTTTTTTTCTGGAATTTTTCTAAAATGTTAAGTTGGCAACTAATTTGTTGATTGACAATGCTTCTTGAAAAAATCTAAAGAATTTGCGAACTAAACATTTTTTCAAAAAAGGTTTTCTTAACACTTTATTTCTTGTGATTAAAGCTGCCAATGTTAAAAATTGCATCAAATTTATGGTACTTGATAACTTCATCTCCCATTAGGATTTCATTGTAGTGAAGACGTTGACTTAGGCCGTGTTTTTTCAGTAACAATTTTGAAAATTTGATCACGCTCAAGTTGATTTTTTGGTTCGACTTGATTCATTCCTAAATTCAATTAGTTTTGTTTGCTATGCGGAAACCATTTTTTACTCCAATTAAGTTGAAATGGCGCAAAAAACGTGAATGAATCTAAGTTTCGCATACAAATTTTGTTTATTGGTTTTCTTAGCGGAATACATAATTTACATAATTAACTATTGATTCAGTTTTCTGAAATTGGTTTATGATGCAGAGAAAATAAGTTGTATACGAAATCTTGAAATGCAACTGCAAATCATGGAATGCAAATTCACAGCAATGGATGGGTCTCTCAATCTCTCCCCTCCAATTTTCTTTGACCATTTAGTTGATGATTGGTTAATGGAGATAGATTTATTACATTAAGTTTTTTTCCTATTGTTTTTATCTGGAAGCAAAGTTATTTAGACGAGTCTGAGATGAAAGTTTGCAATGAAAGTCAAAGACAGTCAGTTAGCCCGGAAATCCAGCTTATTTTCGTTAACATATTTCAGCTTCGAAAAATTTCTGCACGTTTAATTGTGTCAATGAAATAAGTGAGGCTAACTTTTCTATTATGTATTTTATTAAATATATCATTAAAAAAAAGAAAAAAAAAGCAAATATCAAATGCGTTGTTGGTTATATACACTGTTTAGTAGAAGAGAGCACTTCAGAGCAGAACTTCAAAGTAAAGTAAGTATTAAGGTAAAGCTGATCACAAAAGATGCAAAAATTGTGCGCTTACACAGTGTCCGATTTTTAAATGGGATGCTTTGTGTTGACCTGTATTCCAAAAAAGAGTTGGGAAAATGTAGTACGCACTTCTTTTTTTTCCAACCTATGTCGCAAATATTGTTGCGACTAAGTCTCACTTATTGTTTGCTGCAGTATTTGCTGCATCGAATTGGCAATAAGATATTTTATTGCACCTTTACAGCTTATTGATAACATGTGCTTTGAAATTCGAATAGTAATAAGTTAATGTACCGAAAAAAAAAAAAAATTGTTTCAAACAACATAACCAAAAAAATCGAAATCAGAAATTTTTTAAATCAGTATATCTCGCAATTTTTTTGAAATGCATCATTCATACATAATGTGGCATCATGATTTGCGAATTATTATATGCAAAATTGTATCTTTTTGTATTTGATGCTACTTTTGCTGCATCCAATTGGCAGTTTATTACCTAATTTAGCTGCTTTTTTGGTGGCTAGTTTTTTTCGAGCTGTTAAGCATCAGTGGCTGAATGGTGAGTGAGTGAGACTCCAATTTTCTCGGTCGCAGCTTTTTGCTAATTCGAGTTTTTGTCAAACCTCGAGTTTTTACATTCGGGGCTTATTTCTACTTTTTTCCTATGTCACTTGATAGAGCTGCTTTTTGGTCGTGTTCTCGCAAGTATTTGCGAAGCGCAGCTTCGCCTCTGGGTTAAATTTATTCTTGAAAAAATCGTGTGCTGTTGCTTAGATCATATGCTGTTTTTTCCAGGAACAAGTTTCAAAATGTGATCACAAAATTTATTCCTTTTCCGATTTAACTGGATTGATTTTTAAGTTCAATTCAGTTTTGTTTGCTATAAGGAAGTCATTTTCTGATCCAATAAAAGAAATTGAAATAGCGGACTAAATAGTCGTCTTTAGGTTCAGGTTTTTCAAATCTCGGGTTAGTCTTATTTGAAAAAGATACTTTTATTTAACAAAAAGCGAAATTTTTTTTTAAGATTACCAGGCAGTAAAAAGTTTTGAAAACTGAAGAAACTACCGCAAAACAAAGTTTTCAGTTACTGGAAAGTTTTCAGCAAATTTATTAAAGCAGTTCTTGAATTTAGGTTGTACTAGATTTTGATTTCCAGTGTAAACAACTTTTCAAATTTTCCGTCTATAAAAAGAGCCACAATCATCTATTTGGCGTTTTCAGAGAGATGATAAGTGCAAAGAAAGAAAAAAGGAGCCGTGTTTTTTCTTCAGATCAATCATCTGCCTGAAAACGTCAAACAGAGTGATAGGAATTTCTATGCACATGACACTGATATGCATGGCAAGCAGTTATAAAATTGTTATAAACTAGATATAAAGAACACAGAAAAATTATTGGCGCAAAACAAACTCATATTAATTAGGATAAAACGAACCTGTTTAACTTATCTCAAAGAAATCACAACCTAAGAAGTCACGAAACAAGATCACATAAAACCTAGCTAAAGAAAAATTTCGTAAAACCAAAAGAAAATAGCAACTCTAATGTAAATTAGAGTATTAAACACCATAACTGAAACGAGTATTTATAACAAATTGATGTTAAATTAGCGCGTCAAACTTCTTTATTATGAATATTTCTGAATGGACTATGATGATTTGTTAGATATCAAACACTTTTACAAAACTGTTGAAATAGTTTTTTCTATTTATAAATTTAAAACATGAAATAGTTAATGAGTGTCTAACTTTTTTGGTGAAGAATTGATTCTGTTGATTGTTTTGGACTATTTTTGACAACAAAATGTTTTGTTTCAAATTTTTCCATTATTTTCTTCAATTAATTTAATAGACAAAGCGTTTACGTATTAATTTTTTCTTTGAGATCAATTTATATAAAAATGTTTTCTTATAGAACTAATTTTAAGACAGAATACAAATTGGGTCGAGGGATGGAAGATCTACATATGTTCTATATCAAATCATGTTGGCCAACACTGACATTGTAGGAGAAACAAATAAAACGAACAGTACTAATTTACTTCAAAACTTTCGCTCAAAAAAACTGATAAGCTGAAGGTTCAAATTGAACTGCTGCAAGAATTATCACAGCAATATGTGTAACGGAAACATCGTTGAAATTGGAGAATCCAAAGCTAAAGTTCCAATTAAGCGGATACAAAACATTGAAACTAGTGATAGGAAGAAAAGAGGAATAGGTGTAGGTATCTTCGTGCGTGAAGATACTCGATATCTGATAAAGCAAAACAGTAATGACAATTATCTTCAACTGATAACTGTTGAACTGAACTGTAAGACTAAATTAAATTTAACTTGTCTGTACAGTCCATCGCGTGCATGTCAAAAAACAAAACCGAACTAATTTACAAAATGTCCTTGATAATTTAGTGATTGAAACAGGAGCATATCAAATAGTGTGCGGGAATTCATTATAAACAGTGTGTGTAGGTAAAAAAAAATGGACTAAAATTAATAGTAGTATAATGATAGTGAATGAATTTTTGCATGAGCAACAAAGAACCAACAAGGTTGAAAACAAAGTAAAAAAGGAGCCTATATATTTTTCTCAACTCACAAGGGGAGCATTTCAAAACTTCAATTTCTGATCCGTTTTTGGTTATTTATTGTTTAAAAACGGCTGGTGACAAAATTCAGCTGGAAAAGATATATTTATCTAGAAAGGTGTTCCTAGTTAAAAGAAAAGACATTATGGAACAGTTACAAACTATCTTTAAAATTGACTGCGACTCCTTAGAAGAAAAAGTGAAATATTTAAGTTGCGAGGAGGGTAAATGAAGACAAAACTTTTTCCTTAAAAACCAACACGGGAAACGAAGACAAAAAACTTTTGCACTGACGACCAAGTTAATAAATCTGACGATAATAGGAATAGGCTAAGAATGTTACGTATAAAACTGGTATTGCAGACGCTAGAGAAAAAAATTGCACATTTTTTTGGTCAAAGTACTGTGGCAAATTTTTTTTTCATCAGAATGAACTGCGGACGCAAGCCACAAAGAACAGAAAAGAATTTTGAAGACGTTTAACGATGTTACCGGACCTGCTAAAACAATTGTTACAATACGAGAACTATTGGAGCCTATTCTGAATTTTTATTTGCAAAAATGTCCTGACAACAATATTTTTTGAACTCATTATAAATTTCAAAATTGATCCCTATACATAAGGAAGGAAATGAACTCAAACTTTCCAATTTAGACAAATTTACTATTACCCGTTTTTGGAAAAATATCTGAGCCAAGAATTCACAATCGAATTTTTGATTTTGTCCCTCAGCAAAATAAACAACATCAATATCAGTTCGGATTCGGACATTAACGAAGTACATTGACACCATTGCTTCTCTAGTAGAAGAAATCAGATTTGAATGGGTCAACCATGTCATTGAAATTCAAGTATTTTTTTGAGGAAAGTGTTTGATATCAATGATTATTAGCTTCCTCCTAACAAATGTTATGTCTCCGGTATGATATTCTAGTATCATTTTTATCAGAACGAAGACAATTTGTGAGCATCAACCAGAATCAAATCGAAAAGTCAAAAAATAAAATATAGAGTGTGAAAAGCTAAATTCTAGAACCACTACTTTTTAATCTGTTTTTTATTGATATACCGAAACTGAATGAACACGCAAGCGCTGATCTCTAGGCCAATGATACAGCCCTTAAAACTCAGTCTAAAAAATCAAAACTCACTGAAAACCATGAGAAAAGCAAAAGAATATTTGGACGAAAGCAAACTGATTTTTAATTTAGATGCATTCAAAACAGTTCGGTTCCCAACACGAAACGCAAAGAACAACTACTCAATTAACTTGAACAACGAAGACATAGAGCAGAATTCCGTATCTAAATATCTGGCTTTGTATACAAAAATAGGAAACAATGAGTTGATAAAATTAATGTTTTGATTTTTTAATCATAGTATCAATTTTCTCCAACATTCACATTCTCAACAAAAGTTTCAAATTTCTAACATTTCTTTCATTTTCTTTAATTTCAAAAATTTTGTATGGTAACAAAAATTAATGGTGGTATTATACCACTATCCAAATTAAAACCTTGTTTTTTATGCGCTCTGAGACGTCTGAAAACAGACATAATTTGCCTAACGACGATCTCTCAGACTGGGTTCTTCAAGCTATCATATACATAATTGATATCAATCATCGTGAACCTATACTGGAAACAATTTAATATGACTTTTATTGTCTTTTATCCTTAAAACAACCTTCTACCCTAGCTTTATAGCGTGTATTCAAATCAGTGCAATCAAATGAATTATTTACCACATAATTTAGACTAATTTACCCGAATCCCAAACTAATTAACTATTTTATTCTTATTATTAGGTTAGATGACCTAAAATTTTAAGTTTTGAAAACACTTAGCCTGCTTAAGTCTTGTTTCTTATGTCCTATGATGTAAGGTGATGAAGTGCAATTTCAAATTTAAATTTTGACAGCACTGTAGAGACCTTACGGTGAAATAAGTTTAAGCGCTATATCAAAATGATAAATTCATAACATTCAATTTTAGATAATCTGTTTCAGTGGGCGGCTTACGTAAATTTTGTGGCGTTTAGGTTCTCCCTATCTATTTGTATACACATCATTTTAATTTGCAACAACCGCAAATTGAAACAAGACTGCTCGTATCAGGTCGAAGCCCTGAGTGTTCTGACTGCCTTTTAAGGTTTATGAAGCAGTAATAACATTAAAAAATTAAATGTAATAAAATGAAATGAAGTTTTTTTCTCTAAAATTTCAAATTTTTAATGAAAATCATTCCCCCACACGCCATATAAAGTACAAAAGGATAAATTTCGCTCATTATAACAAATCAATTATGGCAAACAAGCTTCTTTCAACCAACAACTTGGAACGATTTCTAAGACGGATTAAATCTCCGCTTATGCGTTAATGGCGCGAATTATATCGCGCGTTAATTGTCCCAAATTGGTCAACGAAAAATACTTAGAGGGATGTGATGCGTCTGAGCTAAATTTTTTGCATGTTTAGCCATTTATACAGGCATTTTAATAAGTTTACTCATTTGTTCAAGACTATCATTTATGTTCAAGGTTAAACAATTTCTATTATTATTGTTTTTTTTTGTGCTCATGCAACTCAATAAGTACAGATCCAATCTCTATTAGCTTAGAACAAAAAACTTTTCAAAAATAAACTTGTTTCGCAAAATATACATCAATCAGTTTGTTAGGTGAAGATTTTTTTGTAATTTTTGGTTAATGTTCTACTATGGTGTACTTGATAGAAGGTTGTACAAGTAGTACTTATTTAGTCGTTATGTAGATCAAATGCTGAAGTAAAGGAAAGTGACAAGAGCAAGGGAAGCGGCAGCCGGTGCGTGGTTTCTGGGGGAGGTACTTATACAGTTCTCATTTTCGTTTCCTTCGTCGCATTCGCACTCATTAGTCTCCGAATTGCAGTTTCCATTTCCATAGCAGTTACTAAAATATTTTGTATGTTTAAGCTGTCGAAACTATCGAAACTAAGGAAAAGTTTATTTTTGCTTTTTTGCTTTAAAGTGATGGACATGACATGTTCTAGAACAATTTTAGAAATGATTAAACTAATGATCATTGCATCAACTGAAGCAATTATTTTATTTACAATATCTAAAAAAATAGCTGAAACGAATAAGTTTCTTGTTGCTTAGTGGCTTGAAGTCTGCTGAAACTAATGAACATTGCAGTTATTGAAGCAGTTGTTTTAACTGTTCAAGCAAATGACTGTATAAATGAAAAAATTATAACTTTTCCTTAAAGTGATTGACAAGGCAGCTTCTAGAACCATCTAATTATCTGCTTAAAGTAATAATCCTTGCAGTTACTAAAGCAGTAGTTTTATTGGAGCGACCTGATGACTAAAGACCAAACAAAAACTTCATGCTTCTGCTTAATAAGATTGTCATGGCAGTTTCTAGAACAATTTTAACATGTGTATAATCTAAAACCATTACAATTACTAAAAAACGGAGTCTTTTCTGTTATACGGCCTAATCTATCAAAACGTTGACTGAGCTTCTGTTTTTATTGAAATGCTGGGATGTATTTTCACTGATATTAGTTTCAACCAATCAGGTTCTAGAGCATCATGATCGAACTTTCCATATAGCAAAAAAAATAGCAAAAAAAACTCATTTTTATGACCTATTCACATGTGGATCGGTGGATGAACACGAGAACGATGATGCAATTTCTCTAGCTGTTTCAGTTGTATGAAAGCACAAGACAACTCCAGTGTTTTTTAAATAGTCATGAAGTTGGTCCTTTTTCACGAGACAAGTGGAACCAGTTTAAAACTAGTATTTACAACCAATTATATTATTGATAAAACTATCTCTATAAAATATTTCTAACTAACCAATCATGATCCATAACTAACACTTACAATTATTTATAACGCTGAAACTATTCATAGTTTCAGCAACAGAACAAAATAAATAGTAAAAACTTAGAAGACAGTTGTTCTCCTTCAAGATAGTTCCTGAAATCTAACTCGCAAACACTGGGAGGGTTCTCATGGTTAAGGGGGTTGCCGGACATCAAGCCGACGGGACTTCAAGCCGAATCGTAAAATAAGGGACTTCAAGCCGAATATTTTCTTATAAACTTGTAAAATATGATTAATTTGAAAATTTTTTTGAAGAATTTCGGAATTTCAGGATCTTTCTTCACTAGTTATTGGCGTTTTCATAAAATTCAATCCTCCAAATGATGTGTAGGAAAGTTGAAAAATAAAACACGGTTGAAGGCGTTTGATGTTTATAATTTGTGCATTTCAAAAACCGGCTGATGTTATTAACGGATGCCAATCTCAAGTGATGCATTGTCATGAATAACGCATTTGATGGACCAAACTTGCCTAAATTTTTGAAAAACAACGTTTTACAGATGAAAAAATAGTGTTTTGAGGTGCTTGTAAAGTTCAAGTTTCGGCTTGTTGTCCTAGACCCGGTTAAGGGACCGGATGCTTGGACCGAATGCTTGACCGAAAAGTTTCAACGAGTCAAAATCGCTAAGTGTTCCTATAGGCTAAATGGTTTTCTCACAAAATCGAAGTCAATATTAACAGAAAATGAATTAAATCAGCAGAAAATAATCAAAAATTTTACAAATTGCGGGTTACAACCGCAATACTATTCAGATAAACATCAAACTTTATGAGTTCAAGCTCATAAACATTTTTCAGTCTTGAAAACTCATCTGCTTATTATCTAATCGGTCAGTATTAACACTAATGATCTGGATTTGTTTTCTTAGATTGAGATTTTTGCGATTTACTTTGAGATTTTAAATACACAATTCTGATTGGCTGAAGTTAAGCTAAAAATTTTTTAAACAATCGGTCCCTCAAGCATGAGGGACGCCTCCCGTAAATACTAGTATACACTAGATCTATTGAGACTAGGAGATATAAGAGTAAGATTAAGATTTGTATTAGACTAAGAAGTTGAACAAATCTATCCGGCCGAAAATAAGATAGCGTGACGACTAGACGGTGTACCTTATCAGAAGTTACTCTATGAGTGAGCCACCTCGGACATAAACTCACAAAATCAAGTAAAAACGCAAAATTTTTTAAATCAAAACACGTCAAACTTTTTAAGAGTGTACCAACCAAACAAATAGAACCATTGAAATATAGATTAACACAATTTAGCAGCAATAAAAAGTATCAAAATATGAGCAATCGGTTCCTCAAGCATGAGGGACGCCACGCGCAAATACTAGTATATACTAGATCTATTGAGACTAGGAGATATAAGAGTAAGATTAAGATTTGTATTAGACTAAGAAGTTGAACGAATCTATCCGGCCGAAAATAAGATAGCGTGACGAACAGACGGTGTACCTTATCTAAAGTTACTCTATGAGTGAGCCGCCCCGGACATAAACTCACAAAATCAAGTAAAAACGCGCAATTTTTAAAGTCAAAACACGTCAAAGTTTTTAAGAGTGTACCAACCAAACAGATAGAACCATTGAAATATAGATTAAGACAATTTAGCAGTAATAAAAAGTATCAAAATACGAGCTGATGTTCAGCTCTTCGCGGAGAGCCATGGTTTTGCCCCTGTTTAAGAATTACATGCAATTTTTGGCTATTTTTCTGGGTTAGGTAATGTTGCCGCATTTAACATGGAATACAGTGAAATCATCAATTACTTTAGTTGTTTTTAATAAATTGGGTTAATAGTCATACCAGCTGTCAGTTGGAACCAAAAAATTCAAGACCTAAGAAAACTGGAAAACGACCAAACAGTAAGCATATTCCACTTAATCCGGCGATTTAATATGCCATTTCTGAAAAACTATCTTTTCAACTATCTTTTTTTTTCGCATATTTCTATAGTAGCGAAGGCGAAAAGAAAATGTCCAGAAATTTACAACCCGCTTCAAATCGTGTTTGTTCGAGGGTCTCTAAAAATGTTGGGTGGAGTTCTATTAGGTTAAATATTATCAGATTGGTACTAACTAGGGGCATGTAGTAAGTCCTGGTATCTCGGAAACGTGCATGCATCTTTTGTTGTGGCAGAAACTATTTTTACCACACCAAATACCATTTCTGACATAGGCCAGATCATCTGCAACATCTATCGAATGGAATAGAACCTCGATCGAGTAGCATGTGATCGACGTTGTTAAATTGATGGTGAATTCAGATACCCATCTCTTATATATCGGTTGGACTCCCCAGTTAAATGTGCATTGTAGTTTTCCGCACCTGACGAAAATAAAGTTTAAAATTCAAGGGCACACATAGTAAAACAATAGTAGACTGCTGTGATACTCCCTCTCCTCCCCAATGCCAACGCCCGTTTCCCCCTTAACAATCAAGCCGTTCTTTCTTTTCTTTTGTGCAATTTTTATCCTCATGGAGCTAAAAATGAAGTTTGTCAGCCGCGATGGTTTTTATGCCAGTTTTTAGTTAATTAGTGACTGGTAATCGCGCAGTCAAAGGCCTTTTTGCAGTCAGATTTTTCCTAAAGTATTATCAAAACTTTAGAAAATTAGAGTTTTTTTAGAAAATTTTAGCAAATCGGATAGCTGCGGATAACCGGTTTGGATAATTTCGTAAAAACTCCCACCCTCTGTTGGCAGGATCGCAACACCTTGGCGCGACTGCGGCGGTGACTTGTTTTCTAATGCGTTGTCTTTTTTGCTACTTGCGTTTTGTTCCATTACGTAGTACGAGGCAGCTTACTTTTGGTTGGCCCTTGAACAGGGAGTGTAAACTTCGTAGAAATTGGACCCGCAGTTTCCCCATTCATCCCCGTGTCTGTTATAGCCCCAGCATTCCGTATCAGCAGAGTCCTTTCGCAGACCATTGGGCTCGTATATTCTAAATCACGTCAGAAAAGCTCAACCTTTTCAAGTCGCCGTATATTTTTGAGGTTTTTTTAGAATGGAAATCGCCATGTTTATTAATGATGATTCGAATGATAATTGAAGCTTGAAATTAAAATTTTTTATAGCCGTAAATTGTTTTTATTTCGAAAAAAAAGACAACACAAAGCTTGAAAATTTACTAATGGCCGTTCATAATACAAGAAAAAGTTATAGTTCTACTAAATTGATCTTCTGTAATTTGGATTATCAAATGGTAGACCAGATTTCGCATGATTTTTCTCATTATTGCTTTCTAGCTAATTTATTTTATGTTAGCTAACTGAAGACATTGCGAATAAGCAGATCGACAGCTTCCGGCGTAGCAGTGTCCGTCTGCCCCGTCTGCAGTGCATTCCACACCCGCTCTTTTGTATTCGTCTCTCGGACACTCGGCACTAGTTCCGTTACACTGTTCGGCTATGTCGCAGTCGTTGCCTTCTGCCCGACAGACGAAACTAGAATTGCGTACTTGACATGTGTCGGGGTCGCAGCACAAATCCATCGCAGAACAGGAAGCGCCTATACAGCAATTCATGTGGTTGAGCAGAAAATTGTAACTCGATTTTGAACTTACTGGAATTCGATTTCGTGTTATGGATCGAACTCGGTTCTAATCAACTGTGAGCCAAAAAAGGACCCCCTCTAGCAGTGGTTGTTGGGAAGATGCTTGTTGAATCGAGCTTTTCATTCAATCAGAATTGATTATTTCAGGAATATTTTTTGGGGACTTGAATCTCAATTAATAAGGAGCTGGGACTTTTTTGTTACTTGGGTAATAGACTAATCACCCACCTGTGACAAGGGTACAGTTGTTGGGATGACAGCAGCGGTCATCACAGGTGTCCACAGCTCCACAATCACACTCCTCGCCATCCATCCGATTCACAATGTAGTCCCCGCAATAACCTTCTTCTATCTGCTTCGATGGCTCATTGTGTAGACACATCGAATTGCCTGCACAAAATTGGTTTTCTTGCAAAATTGATTGTATGTCTTCACAGCGAATGTTAGTTTATTGTTTTGGAGTATTTTCGGAATGGTCTTGAATGCTTGAATCTTAAGCTTGTTTCAATAATGCGATGTTAATTTTTATCATGACTGTGGTGTTTTTTTATGGTGCTTAAGTGATGATATGTTAGTAAATTCCATCTACCGTGCTCCATGAAGTTTTCCAGGGACGCCTGTTGACAGTTTGAGAATAATTGGGGTGGCGAATCGGATGTGTATGCGCTCATGACGCATAAGCCTTCTTCGGAGCAAAAGCAGGGGTCACTCTCATTGGTGGGGTTGTGGTCCAATCCAAAGTTATGGCCCAGTTCGTGAGCCAGAGTACCAGCTGTCATGGCATTGTTCCGGTCATAGTCTTTTACCCAGCTTCCTGAAGCATTTTAATTGCGTTTAATTTAATCACCTTCCACGTGCGTGCTGTGATGCTCACAAACGAACAATAACACATTTTGTTCCGATGAATTATCTAAAGAACTTTTTAGTGGCCAACTTGACATTCAAGCAGGCCATCGGCTCATAAAGTGATTCAAAAAGACTGTTGTAACAGGAACAGCTGGTTCAGGGGTGGATCTAGGATATTCACGGGGGGGGGGGGGGCTTATTTTCAAAAAAGTTTCAAACAATTAATCGACTTTTTTTATGTTAACTAAATTGATTTTCGGAGTTTTCCCAACACACTAAAAAGACCCTTGATTTAGCAAATTTTTTTTGCGCCGCATGCAAATTTTTCAAAAAACAGGCCAAGCAAAAAAAGGCGTTTGTGAGCACTTTTTGGAAAGTTTTGATAGAAAATCGCGTTTCTTTGGCACTCGCGTCCCCCTCAAAATTAACAAAAAATGTTTCCCCCTTGTTTCAATAAAGTTTTCTCCATCCGTAATTTCTGTTGCGCGGCGTTTATGAGTTTGGTGTTGCGAGCAGTTCCACTTTGTAGTTGACTTGTTTTTGCGTTTAAAGTATTACTCGTGGCCTGATACCCCTAGTATTTGTTTGTCTTTCGAAGATAAAGTAAAATGAAAAGATGCTTCGAACCTTATATCTGTTAGAGTGGTATAACAAGTGTTAAAGAAATAGGCAGTATCATTTTTTTTATTAAACTCACAAACGCTTTTTGGTGCCTTCAATTAGCACCATGTAGGTTATTTCTGTTTTAAACACGTGAACGAGGGATTATTTTTTAATCTAATCGAAATGCAATTCGTTTTTAGCGAAAAATGCATGAAGTGAATTAAGAATGGCTTCTCTGGTCTCAATTAGTACACCTAATTGAAATACTACTATGAGTGTAAAAGGGCTTAATAAAAGAAGTTAATTCAAATCAAATTATCGGTAATAAAGGGGTTAAATTGTTGAGGGGTTATCTGGAAATATAGGGGGTTAAATATCGTGGGGTTAAAGAGTGGGACACCCCCCTAAACCCGCATCCGCTACTGAGCTGATTGTTGTGGTAGTAGTATGGAAGTTTCTGATCGAAATCATTGTTCCAACAAATCAACGTTTTTGTCACCTGCGAAAGCTGTGTATACTTGTAATCGGGAACGTAGGAAATTGACTTTGCTTTGTTACAACGCACCGCCATGTTTCAGGACCCTTCTCAATTGGTCTAGAGTTAATCATTTTGGGACAAAAGGCGTAAGGTTGAGTCCCGGCTAAGCCAATTTATTCTTTGATTAGCGAAAGTATTTTTTTGGAAAACTTGAATTGTCGCGCTATCATTGGGTATCAGTTTTCATACAATCGTTAACGTTAAGATTTCGATAGCTCATTCAAGATAGTGTTTTAATTAAACAGTAACAATGGGTTTCAAGCTGCCTTTAAAAAATCTCGAAATATTCAAGAAATTTTAAAACGTTTTTCTCAACCAATAAAATTGTCAAAGGAATAAAAAACAGAAATGAAAAAAGTGAACAAATAAATGTTGGAAAAGAATTGAAAATAAAAATTGAAAAAGATTTTCGATTGCAAAACAAGACCAATTTTTTTATGTAAAAAGAAAAAACACAAACATGCCAAACAGTAAGCCAGCTGATGAAATCTAGTCGTTTAAAAAAAACTTTAAGTACGTTTTAGAAAAATAACCTTAAGTTCCAAAAAAAATTTTTTTTCTGATTGTTTCTGTTTTTAATTGCAGTTTTTGATAATTTGATTTGCATAACATGGTGGATATTGGTTCCAAATTAAGATACCTGGACCTAATGTGTGCAGCATGACCCATTGAGGTAAGCAAACATGGATGGGGTGCGGTAAGCAGACGACAAGTTGTGTTAGTAAAAAAAAGTTTGAAAGCTTTTTAATGTTTTTTTTTCTCAGTTCTGAAACTACAGTTACAATTTTTCATCTATTTATTTCTCAAAATGGTAAAAGGCTCAGAAACAGCTGTTAAAAAATCATTAGAGCTCAATTAAATTTCAATGTAATTTGAAACCTAGATTTTGAGTTGTTACTCCATATTTTTTCCACGCCCTGCTCACCCAACCTTTCCCTTTAACTCCAAAGTTACTAGTGCAAACTACTTCTACTTCAGCCATTTTGGGATAAGTAACACGCAATATTTTGCGTTCTTGTAACGCCTAAGCGTTCAATTCAGGCGTTCCAGATTGAATTGAGGCGAGTCTTATTTATAGGATATGAGACGCTAAAGACGTTACTTTATATGTTTAGTTAGCGAGTGTGAGGATAAATCGAAAATGATTTTTTTTTCTTTTTTTTTCGTTTATTTAGTCAGTTTTCCAAGCGAAAACATTTTAATTGACCTTCAAGTGCAGTCGGAACAAACAGGGCTTCGCCCTGATATACGAACCATCTTGCTTTGTTCAACTTTTGTTGTGAGGAAAAAAATGTCAAATCGTACAAATCTCAAATCTCAAATAAGGCAATTTCGTAATTGAATAAGGCATTTACGATTTACAGATGCATCGATTTACTGACCTACCACTGGAAAACCTTTAGATCCACCCGTTTTGAAGCTAGATTTGAAAAACAGGTTACCTGACCCCCACATATCGCATTGTACGCCAATGTAAGCCAGCCCGACAGTGCCCGCATTCTCTGTGAAGTTCCTCACTATAAGAAGAATGGCGTTGTCGTGGTTGGGAAAATTCTGCAGGTTTTCCCAGTGGTAATTTAGGAACAAGTCCAGCACACCGTTTGTGGTTCCATTGGCATATGTTGGGTCCGATTGTTCAGATGTGAAGGTGTGAACATCTACGAGGGAGAGATGGAGGTTGATGTTTGTCAAGCCGGCGTAATAGAAGTCGGCAAAGTGCACAATCTCAATATCTTTATCCAGAAGCTAATCCAAAAAAAAACGTCTTTCGAATGTCTCACATTAATAACAATTCACTGAATTTTACCAATCATCGCTATCTCAGTCTTAAGTTTATTATGCGACAAAGTTCAGTGTTATATAACCAAAGTCCCCCCCCCGTAAATTGATTTAGGATCTCGAAATTGATTCATTAAATTGTTGATTGAAAACTTGCTTAAATTTAGGGAGCAAGTCTTCTTATTAAGAAATTTTCGAGGAATTTAATTCAGATTTCAGTTATTTATTTGATGATGTATTTCTCACTAGTTGATCTTTCTTAACATATCTCTGAAATTTTTAGCTTAAAATTGTTGGACTTGACTTACGCAACGACTTGCGCGACGCTAAGACTTATTTGGAATTACGCAACGACTTACGGGACAGTTAACTTTAGTTAAAAAATTATATGGAAACTAACATCTTGTTCGGAGGGTCCAAACTCCTGGTACCAATCAAAGCCATGGAACAAAATGACTTCCACGTAGCTCCTTTCCTGTGCATTTCTTCGGGACCTGCTGTTCTTTGCCGGGAGCTGCAATCTCTTCTTCTTCGGGTCAAGTGAGACAGAATCACTCGCCTTCTTCAAGCTGATATGACTCGTCGTGCCGCAAACTATTTCGGGATCAATCAAAGTTAAGAATCCCCAATTTATCATAACAATCACGCCCCCGCCCCCACCCCTTCTCAGGGATTCGACCCCCTGCCGACCCAAAGGTCCCCCTTTGTACTATTTTAAGATTCCATTTTTGGCAGAGCGGCCCTAATTTTTTTCTAAAGGAACCTTCGATGCCAATATATACTAAATTTAAGGGGGAAGCCGGAAGCGCGAGCCGAAAAACGCGATTTTTTGGTTCATAGTTTTCCAAAAAGAGCCTAAAACACCTTTTTTGGCCTGTTTTTTTTTTTAAATTTCGCCTGCGATTTGTGAAAACTCGGAAAACCATTTTAGTCTACCTAAAAAAAGTCGATAAAATTTTGAACTTTTTTCAAAATTCGCCCCCCCCCCCCTCCTCGAGAAAATCCTAGATCCGCCCCTGATTATAATCATAAACATTTATAATAACAAGTCAACCTAATAGAATTGCCGCAGCCCCCCTCCCCCTCCGCAGCTAACCAAAAAAACAAGAAGAGGCTTCCATAAAGCAACGCGAGCCCAAAATCAATCACATAATCGCAATTTTTTCATGAAGGTTATTTTCTTATACCAAATGCGAGCTATACCTTTCAAAGTTTGCAGCATTCAATAAAATGTCATGAGAGTTCGCCCAATGTTTCAACATCTTGTAAACTAGCGTCAATCTTACTAAATTTAGTTTAATTGATCCCTTTTTCATTGTCGAGGTCCTTTCGCATATGTTCAGTTGAAAACATGATCCATTTGCCTTCATCGTTATTAGTGTACAGCGTGTACACTTTTCCATTCAAGAAAACTAGACCAGAAAGTTCTGGAATATTCTGGCCATCTTTGTCGCAATACTTTATTCGCACTGGACTGTGAACGTCGGTTTGTTTGTCTTTTGAAATGTGACCCTGATAAAGACATTTCGTAACTGATGATTTGAGGTGAGCGCTGTGTAGATTTCCTCTTTGAGTCAAAACAAAATCGATATCGCCAATTTCGGTATCGTCAGTGGTCAAATGCATCTCAGTTGAACCCTTGTTGGCACCGGGCTCCATTTTCACTGAAGTAATTGTGACCCAGGAATCAAGTTTGTCCATCATCTGGTCTGCGTTCGTCGTCATCGGCAGTAAAACAGCATGAATATTTATGATCAAAAGTAGAAGCATTTTTGACGCCAAATTAGCGACTGCAGAAAATAAAAAAGATTATAACTTTGACGTCAAAACTTTATTCAGTAGAACTATTAAAGATATTTGTTTCTGACCACTTATAGTCATTTTCTATCAAAAATGTTCCGTAAAAAGTCGCAGCCATGACAATTATTTGACGCAAAGAAAAGTAATAGTTGCTTTAACAAGACTAAAAAAAGTTGATATTGAGTATTTTTGTCCACTATACATAGAGATCTATATTAAATAAATAACATTTCTTTTGCAGATTTAGTAACGCTTGAACTTTGATGGCAAACATATACGTATAACAGCGTTTTTTTTTATATACGTTTTTTTTTCAAGTTCTTGAACAATACACTTTTTATATTTACCATAACTGGCGTTAAAATTGGTAAAATGAATTCTGTTGGGATAAACCAATTCAAGCAGAAACTGTCTAAATAAAAATGGTAAAAATCAATAATAAATGGATTTCTGTGCTAATACATTATTCAGAATTTTTACGGTTCGTTTTCTCTTGATTTCCAACTAAAATGAGCAAAAACGTGATGCGCAGCAAAACTGAGCCAGCCTTCGGGAAGGGAAGTGCAAAATGTAAAAAAATTACGATACCGCTCAAAACATCACAGCACAGCACTTTACCACGTGAACAAAAATCAAAGTCAACAAAAATAACGACAATCGAGATGCAAAAACAAACAAATTTTGTTTTTGTTTCAGATACTAAATAATGACAAGAAGTTCATTGACTTGAGCAAATTAAATAAAAGATCCTTGCATCAAAATCTCGCTTAGTTCAGCAAGCGGATTAAGAAGTATTTCCACTGAGAGACGCGTCAAAAACGTCCACTGGACAACAAGTTCGGTAGTATTAATTACGTACGTCTCAACTTTTCACTGTCACACTTTGATATCGTCCAAAATTTATAGGTTTTCAATAATTTATAGGTTTTCAAACCTTTCTTCTACATCTTAGAAATTTAATTGCGATCAGAAAGAAAGACGTTCGATTTGTTATTAAATTAACAGTCTAGAACCTTGCTCAATTAATCACTGAAAAATTTATGAGAGTCACACTTCGTTGAATCACATTGCAAAGCCAGCAGGATTTTTATCGCAAGATAACCAGACTGAAATGGGTTTTCTGTATTATCAGAAGATGCAAATTCAGACCAACCATTAAAATTTAAACTTAGTGAGAACAATTTCTGATGGTAGTGATAGTAAAAGTGAACAAGACTGCTCGTATCAGGGCGAAGCCCTGAATGTTCCAACTGCCTTTTAAGGTTTATGGAGCAGCAGTAATAACATTTAAAAAATTAAATGAAATAAAATAAAACAAAAATTTTTTTTTTAAAATTTGAAATTTTTATGAAAATCACCCCCCCATACACCATATAAAGTACAAAAGGATTGATTTCGCTCCTTGTAACAAATCAATTACGGCAAAAAAGCTTCTTTTAACCAATTTGGAACGATTTCTAAGACGGATTAACTCTCCGCTTAGGCGTTAATAGCGCGAAATATATCGCGCGTTAATTGTCCCAAATTGGCCAAAATGGCAATCTTTAAACCCCCATAACTTTACGAAAAATGATCACAGGTGAAATATCTTTATCAAAAATAAGCCTTTTGAATGATAATACCTTTGAATGATAAAACAACAATACCTTTGAATGATATTAAAAAATTTTGTCAAAAATGGCTAGTTAAAAAGTTGAAATTGGTCTGAAGAAAAAAAACCCACCCCGAGCACAAATATTCCGTTACTGTCTGAGTGAGGAAAGTTGGACAACACAGGGAGCCAAAAGCGATTAAGATGCAGTCTCTCAAGGCGTTAGTACGAATCAACAATCAAATATCAAATCATACGCATGAAGGTGGCTACGGTTACTTTTGTATCATTCCTCAATTAGACAATAGTGAAGCAAATGATCGACAGCTCGAAAAAAAAGTTTGTTCACGGTTGAAAACTTGAATTTGATAGCACAGTTTGTAAAATATAACAAACAGCCTCATCTGATTTCGAGGGCACTGAACTGCAACATCAGATCAGCAAGACAGAATACGAAAAGGGCGACAGTAATGATAACTTAAAAGAAACAAGGTTTTTTTCAAGGCTTTAATTTGCAAAACAACGTGGTAAAGTCAACAAAACAGATCGGCCCCTAAACAGAATAACTCAAGGTCTCACCTCTCATGTGCTACTGCGAGAGCAGTTGACAAATCTTATAAGGGAAAACTTTTAAGGAAGGAGAAATTTACAAAAAAAATCGATGAACTATTTGAAAAGCAGTGTGAAACAAAATGAATCAATTAAACTTGCTCTTGATGACCGATATTTAGACAACTTTTTCAAAAATTGGATGAGTTACTGGATGGAGTAAATCGAATGAAAATGAAGATACAATATGCCTCAGCGTACTGGATTTAAATTACGCCGATAGCCAACTGAAGTTCCCTGCAGAAATTTCAACATAGTAAACGGAAATGCAACCGGTACACACAGGTTAGGTTGTGATTTGTTTTTAGTTTGTTATAATGACCTTCGGTATTTTAATTAATACCAGTTTAGTTACGACCATCGGTCGATATGAACGGAAGTTCAGTTGTCCTTTTTAACGTCTTAATTCAACTACTTCCTTTTATCGTTTTAACAATTAAGCTTATGTACATACCTTGTAAATAGACACTTAGAATTAGAATAGTTTATTATGGCGCAGTCAAATGATTCGAACGTGCGTGGAATTCCCCCCTTTTGGCCTAATCACACCCTAGAGCCACCGCATGCCTGGACCCAATGGAGCGACCAATTCCAATTGGCGATCATCGCGAAAGAAAATCTGGATTTAGAGAGCCTACATGGACCAGAGATACCGGAGACGCAAATTCCAATTTTGGAACAGGCGACAGGCAGCGAGTCGGACGCGGAAAAAGCCAACAGAGAGAGCAGGAACAAAAGCACAATGAAACAGTACGAATCCGCAGAAGAGAAACGGATCAACGAAGAGAAAAGAAAATTTAATGGAATGAGACGAACGGAGGCGGACAAGAAACTGCCATCAATTTTATTTTTAGCCCTAGGGAGCGAAGGAAAAAGAGTTTTTACACAAAAGAACCCGAGAGTCAAGATTCTAGCAATATCGTTCTCTGAGTTCTGGACTCTACTAGACGCAGCATTTAACAAACCGCCCAATACTACGTTCGAAAGATATAAACTTCTAAATCGAAAACAAAAAGATCGTGAGTCGTACGAACAATTCTGGGGAGCACTGACGGACCTAGCCAGCACGTGCAACATCAAGGAATCCGACGAGGCAGAATGGATAAGGGATATCTTCATTTGCAATATGAAGAACACAGACACCCAGAGGAAGCTACTTTCAGCTACCATAAGCCCGTCGGAAGCACTTAATCAAGCCCTAATCGATGAAAAAGGATATTTTAACCACCACAAACTGACAAATGTGTCACGGTCATCGACCAACGGGACAACTTTTAAATCTTTTAGTAACCACAATCATATCAAAAAAGAACCAAGCTTAAGCATCGAAAGGAGTAACTCATGCATGAAATGCGGAAATACATTTACGAAAGGGCACTTAAACGTTTGCCCAGCGAAGGACATAACCTGTAAAAATCGCAACTATAAGGGACACTTCGCCAAATTATGTAAATCACGCAATAAGAGACCAACTGTAAATAATGTATCAAATAATTTCGTAAATACTGAGAATTGTACATACACACCTCCGGAAAACTCGTGGATGGAAGAAAAAGAATCATGCGACGTGATAAATGCGTGGAATGAGTACGGACAGAGTGACGATGACGACTTCTCGGTGTTGAGTGTCAGAACTA